GGATGCAAATAGGTCTTGTTGCGATTGATTTTATTATTTATCAGAACATGGGAAAGCTGAAAATAGGTATCTTCATGAGATCCTTGACCAAAATTTGAAGTATTGCAAGAGCATTAAGTAGACCTCCCTTGATATATACTGCTTCTGAAAATTTTGGTTGTTCTGTTCACTATTGCCTTCTTTAGGAAGCTTATAAATTACATGTGGAGCTTCTTGAGTCAAACAATTCCACATTACCCCATTATTGTTCACCCTTTGAGGTGTTTTGATGTATGGTTCTGTGCCTCTTATTATGTGTTCCACTTTTTGCGATTTTCTCTTGTTGGTGTTCTAGGTTAGGAAGCTCCTTGCCAATTAGTCTAGGAATTTCGTATGTAATAGGGCATGAATGTCTTGTGAGAAGAATTGTAATTTATGTAGGAAGCTTTGGTAATACAATAACAAATGTTAGAAATTAAATGATTCCAATTACAAATGTGAGAGAGTCACATACTTTAACTTAATGTTTACACTCGCACTTTTCTGAATCTTTAGTTTTGTTGTCATACTTTGGTGAATAAAAAGCAATTGGGAATGTTGCAGAAATGGGGAGTGGGGAACTACACATGCAAGAGAATATCACCTTCATAACACAACTCATCACTTGGAGGTTCGAGATTGGACAAAAGCTACTGGTTTCTTCACGGTTAGAAGATGGCTTGAGAAATGAAGATGCTCCACCAGTTTTGTTTCACCACATAAACATTGTTGTAATAGGAGTGGAATTGGATATTAGTTGTGCTTTGATGTGATCAGCTATTCCTTATTTATTAGTTGTGGTTTCATGAATTAGTAACCATGAAACTAGAGTGGATAGAGAAACTGCATCTGTATATGTTTAGCTAATAAGTAGCCTCGCAATGTAAACTCAAGTTTATGTATTGCGCCTTCTTATTATGCCTCTATTGTTGTCTTAACTATTTTTTCACCTCTGTCTTGACAATTACAAAGCTAAAGTTGGACTAAGAGTCAAGTTTAAGTATTGCCTTCTTATTGCCCTTATATTTCTTTCCTATCGTACATCTATTGTTGTCTTAACTCTTTTTTCACCTTTGTCTTCACAATTATAGAGCTGAAGTTGGACTTCCAGGTTTACGTATTGCCTTCTTATTGCCCTTTTATTGTGTTCCTATTGCTCCTCTATTGTTGTTTTAGCACATTGTTTTTCACCTCTGTCTTTGCAATTACAAAGTTGAAAGACTATTAAGTTTAAGTATTGCCTTCTTATTGCCCTTATATTGCTTTCCTATTGTACCTCTATTGCTGTTTTAACTCTTTTTTCACCTCTGTCTTGACAATTATAGAGCTAAAGTTGGACTTCCAGGTTTACATATTGCCTTCTTATTGCCCTTTTATTGTGTTCCTATCGTTGCTCTATTGTTGTTTTAGCACATTGTTTTTCACCTCTGTCTTTGCAATTACAAAGTTGAAAGACTATTAAGTTTAAGTATTGCCTTCTTATTGCCCTTATATTGCTTTCCTATCGTACCTCTATTGTTGTCTTAACTCTTTTTTCACCTCTGTCTTGACAATTATAGAGCTGAAGTTGGACTTCCAGGTTTACGTATTGCCTTCTTATTGCCCTTTTATTGTGTTCCTATTGCTCCTCTATTGTTGTTTTAGCACATTGTTTTTCACCTCTGTCTTTGCAATTACAAAGTTGAAAGACTATTAAGTTTAAGTATTGCCTTCTTATTGCCCTTATATTGCTTTCCTATTGTACCTCTATTGCTGTTTTAACTCTTTTTTCACCTCTGTCTTGACAATTATATAGCTAAAGTTGGACTTCCAGGTTTACGTATTGCCTTCTTATTGCCCTTTTATTGTGTTCCTATCGTGGCTCTATTGCAGTCTTAGCATTTTTTTCTTTTCTTAATGTATGTCTTGGCAAACAAATTGTAGTTAGACTATGAATTCTTTGTATTGCCCCTTTATTCCACTACCCTTGTATTGCACCACAGTTCAATTTAAATTTCTAGCCACCTGCTTTATGTGTCTACATCAATCATGCACATAAACATCATACATACACATTCAATAAATGTTATAAATAGCTGCATCATGATCTATACAATTGGGTACCTATAAAGATACCTATTTCCAAAAACAAAAACAGTGACATGTTAGGAACACAAATTGTACATATAGTTAGGTAGCAAAGATCCCCACTTAATGGAATGAGACATACAAACAAAACAATTGTAACATCTAAATGATCTGCTTCTTGTTAATGACGGGGATAGCTTCTTTGCATGTACTTCGATAGTGGCCCTTCACACCGCACCTTGAGCATTTTCTTTGTTGTGAGTCCTCTCCTTTAGAATGTATTCTTTGCGTCTTATGACGGCCCGACATAACCCTTGAAATAGGAGGGAGGATATTTACATATCGGATATTTTCGGGAAAAACCCATGTCCCTTGAGGTTGTACAGGATAAATGGATTCTGCATATGTAGCTGCCCATGTAGCTCAAGTGTAATATGAAGAGGCAAATGAGTATGGATTCAATTTCAAGTGTCGACATACCGCAATAGCATGCTTGCACGGGAGTTGCTCTATGTCAAACTTCCTACACGTACAACTATGGTTTTGCAAGTGCACAAGACCGTTCATATCACCATCAAGCTCAGAAAATGTTACGTTCCGTGATACTATTATGCCTTCAGCCTCACCACCTTCATAACTCTCAATATTATCCTTGCGAACCCAGTTTCCGTTGTAGAATACCAATATTCCAACAGTATCCATTTCTGCAAATAACAGCAATAAATCAATCTATTTGCATCCCCATCATAAGGTATACTCATTTCTTTGCATTACCAAATTGGAAATCAAAACAGAAAAACTAAAGCTCTTAGCAAAACTAACCTAACCCAGAATGTCAATCAAATCCAATTCAAAGACCTAAAATTTCACACTTAAGCTTCTAAATGAGGGAAAAACTTGTCTAACTAACCTATTTCTACGCTAGACAAAATTAAGATATGATTTTTATGTTTCGTGTTATTTTGGGGAAAATGCTTTATGGGTATTGAAGAAGGGGACAAATAGCTTAAAACTCAAAATTACAAATAAGGGTTGCATGCCATCAAATTTATTGGCATATATATGCAGACAAAGCCACGCACTGGTACTGAAGCAGCCTATAAAATATCACAATTTCAAATTTTTCTTCACATTTTTTATATTAATCAAATAACACAAGCCATGTTTGGATAAGTTCAGCAATTCTAGGATTACCCTACCTATCTTAATTGAACACTTGGGCTTTATTGTTCTTACACTTCTATCTTTTTTATGGCCTAGCCAATTGGAGAATTGAGTGTCAAGAAGTGGTTGGTGGTTGGATTGAGAACATATATAATAATAGTCATACTGGATTTTGCCAGTTGCAGAGAAGGGGAAAAGGAAAAGGAAAAGTGATTCAAGACATAGAGTTACCTACAAAAGCAATTTGAGGAACTAGAAAAGAGGGACCTGGTAGCAATAGGAGTCGCAGGTTGCTGTTGTCGTTGCTTCTTTTCTTTTCCTTTTGGGGGTATCGTTTCAACAATTGAGGTGGTGGTCAAAGCTTCTTCTAGTTGAGGTTTAGATAATCATCGAAGAACTTGGTTAGATGCCCTCCAGTTTTTTCTTGGTTCGACAGCGGAGAGGAATTGGGAGAGGTTGGTTTCAGATTCTGAGAATGAATTTTTTAGGGGATAAAGAGTGGATATTGATGTATTTATGTTGAGGGCAATTTAGTACTTTCACATGAGGAAGTGAGTATTTGTGGTTAAAATTTCTAATGAGTATTCTTGATTAAGGTTTCTGGTTTGTGAGTATGTACGTGCATTTCCCAAATTTCTTCACATTAAGGATCACAAAAATTACATTAATGCCACATGTTCCCAACGATGCTTGTTAAAATGAAATTATGATATAGTTCGTTTCAAACTTTTAAGATTGGGGTTCTTCAATTTTTCGAAAACTTTTTCTTTTTATTAACTGATTTTGTTAACACAATTTTTTAAAATTAAAAATTAAAAAAATTAAAAACTTAAGAAGCCAACCTCTTCAAAAATAAAAACCTCATATGCCAATAGGTAATACACAAAGTAGTGTGTATGGTTTATTTTTTATTTTTTGATGCTCCAGCCTAGTGCTGAGTTTTTAGAATATACAACTTAGGCTAAGTTGTCAAGCCCAAACTAGGTGAATCAAATATTAGCCTACACCTCTATGTAGACATGAAGCCCACCCTTGTATAATCTCAGCCGTTAGATTGATTGGAATCCATATGATGTAACTTTAGAATCCGTGTGATGCTTTTTTATAATAAAGAGAAATACTTTTTAATACGATAAATGTTGTTGATATGTGCTCCATATGGCCTCACAACCTCCCAAAGTAAGGCCCCACGTGCTCCATAAAGGTAATATAATGGATTGTTTATTATAAAGGTAAATGATAATTTCCTCTTTGTCCTGCTCCATTTTGTCTGTTGCAATTCATTGTTTTCTTATAAATTGTTTTTTTTTTCATGAAAACCTTTAAATTATTTACTGGAGATTAAAGAAACAAATATAAGCATGAGGTTCTAGTTTTTTTTCTATGTAATTCTTTTTATGTTATAATCTTTCTTCTGCTCAATCCATATTGTTATGATGGTATTAGAGCTCATCTCGATACTTCTATAATTTCTCATATCTTTCTTTCAATCTCTACTTTTTGAAGCTCCGTTCTGAATTTAGGCACGAAGTTTTTACTAAATTTCTGAACTTTTCAATTTCTCTGAGATTCTTCTGTGTTCTTTTTTGAATTTCTGGTTCTTTTAAGTTACTTTTGCTTCCTAAGGCTTGGCTTATATGATGATGGTTAACCATAACCACTGTTATATTTTTTTTTTGGGGGGGGGGAGGAGGGGGAACATAACCCTATAAAAAATTTAGCCCACCCCTATAAAAAAATTCCTAGTTGGGTAGGAGGATTTGAAATCTAAGACTTTGAATGCAGGAGTAAATGCTCTTCACCACTTGAGCTACACCCCCTTGTGTATGTTTTTGTTGTTAATAACATGAAACACTGAATCAAAAAAAAAACATGAAACACTCAATTTGATTATATATAGGTAGCACTAAGTGTTGATCAATATTCATCTCAGGTTTTCTTCTCCTCGAACTTTATGTGAATTCCATCCCCAAATCCTAAAATAGGGTTTCGAGCAATGCGTGCCGCTTTGATTGTTGTCCACCTATGAACAGAGATTCAATAGATGACTTAGCTTTCTTTTTTTTTTTTTGGACAAAGATGACATAGCTCTGATAAAAACGTTGTAAAACACACAGTAGATTCGTAACTTGTGGTGAGAGAAAAGAAATGTACCTATATTTGGTGACCAAGACATGGAGAAAGGTGGCCAAGAAAACCCTACTATACTCTGCCCCTGCACATTGCCTCATTCCTCCACCAAAAGGCATGAAGTTCTTGGACACAGCATATGAGTCAAGGTCCTAAATTTCATCAAATAAATATAAAGTAAAATTAGCTGCTAAAAATTGAAGTGATTTGAACAAACGACAATGACACTCAGCCCATCCCCGAGACACGAACCTTCCAACGCCATGGATTGAACTCGAGGGGATCCTCGAATGTGTTGGGACTTAACTGAAGTGCAGAGGTGACAACCATAATGGTCCAGCCTTCTGGAATTGTAAATCCTGCAAAGCATTTACTGGAAACATTTTAGTAAGAATCCATTTGCTGTTAGAAACAAAAGACCTACGCTATTTGTAATTGAGGACTTACCCTTTACTGGGATATCTTTCAAAGCTCTACGTAATAAGCCAGGGGCAACATTTCCCAGCCTAAGAATTTCATTGATAACCTATATGTTTTCCGAAGACCAGCAAATTATAAGTCTTTTTCAAAGCTGTTGTGCAAGGAAGAAGGAAATGCTTGTTGAGATTTGGGAACTGACCTGAAGAGTAAAAGTCATGGATTTATATTCGTCCCATGTGAGTGAGGAATTTGGATTTTCCCTGTTTTTGAGAATTGCCTCATGCTCAGCCTGACCATAAAAGATAATTGATCATTAGGGTCTTAAACAGAGGAGTTATGAAAATGAAATTGAAGCACAAACTTCGTCTATGTACCGTCAACTCTTCTACAACTGAAGGATGCTCTGCCAGTAAGCTGAAAGCTAATGCTATTATTGCAGAAATAGACTCAAAGGTGGCAAACAAGCCCCCAAATACGACCTGAAGAGTAAAAGTCATGGATTTATATTCGTCCCATGTGAGTGAGGAATTTGGATTTTCCCTGTTTTTGAGAATTGCCTCATGCTCAGCCTGACCATAAAAGATAATTGATCATTAGGGTCTTAAACAGAGGAGTTATGAAAATGAAATTGAAGCACAAACTTCGTCTATGTACCGTCAACTCTTCTACAACTGAAGGATGCTCTGCCAGTAAGCTGAAAGCTAATGCTATTATTGCAGAAATAGACTCAAAGGTGGCAAACAAGCCCCCAAATACCAGCTGAACTGAAAAATCCTCTGACAAAAATTTCTCCTTTTCCATGTCAATGCTGATTTGATCAAGGAAATCTCCTCTCCGCGTCTCAGGTGAAATCCGTCTCTCCTTTAGCATATCCCTCAACATGGTTGTTACGTTCTTTTGGTGCTGAATGAATACCAAGACATTAAATTTTTGTAAAATCTCATTCGTAGGAGACAAACTTGTTGCTAGTTATAATATGCCAATTTGAATATCACCTTCGAACAATTATAGTAGGCTGTACCAGGGATGTTCAAGGGAAAGGACATAAGACCGTCTATGATTTTAGTATATTTCTCACTCAGGTCATCAGATGATTTTTCTGCATCATAACTGATCATCTGCTTCGCGCTAAAATTAAAAACCATCTGCAATGGCGAGAAAAGTTATGTTAAGTGTGACAAGAACAGCAGCAGAAAAAAGCAGTACTGAAAAAGAAAATAAGTGATTAAGATTTAAGTGGGGTTGAAATTTACAACTGAGCCTGCATGCTTCACTTCAACAGAGGCCTTACTTGACCAGGCACATAGACTTTTGTTGACGAATTCTTCTATTTGAGGGAGCAGCTTCTCCTTAAGCCTCTCAGCACCAAAGTGATTCAAGAAAGTGCTCCTTACATACTTGTGAACCATACCAACTGCGTTCGTCTTAGATTCACCTTCATGGACGAAGATCTTCGAAAACGTGTCCAAGTACCACAGCTCCACCATCCTCCCTTCTTGCTGAAATAAGTAGTTATTGAACTCAGGATCAGCTGTGACTACAACCGGTCTACCCGCCAAACTAGTCCGAAATATTGGTCCATATCTGCAAGGCAAAGAAAAGAACATCTTCACTGAACTAGGCAGGAAACTTGGTATATCAAACTCCACTTTTTTAAAATCATTAGATTGATTGAAATATAATAAACAAAGCAAAATATGTTCTTAGTTGAGTTTGAGTGAGCAGAGTTTTACCTTTGAAGTCTCTTCTTAATGAAGGGGTGAAGATCAAGTGAGTAGCTGGGAATGATCAAATTGAGAGTCTCTCCAATGAGAGGCAACCCCATGGAACCTGGAGGCAGAACCCCATTGCATTTTGGGTTCCTCCATTTGATAATCCAGTGAGTAAAATATATGACTAGTAAAGCTACTAAACTCAACCCAACCAGAGTCCACATTTTTGTTTCAGAACAGAGAAAGAGTGGCAACTAGCAATCTCTATGGCCAGACTATATATATATCATGTGGAAATATTGGCATTACAAAAAGAAAATAGGAGAAATGACAAGATTATTCCAAAATATATCTGACTTTTCTTGCACATAAAACATTTAAAATGAAACGTTCTAATGAGAGGGGACACATGACATGACTTATATTAAAAGTAAAAGCCACCGTCTCTGACTTTTGCTCATCTGGTTGAATAAGAAAACAAGCACCCTCAGTCCTTGTTATGGCCCTCGGTCCTCACTCAGGAATAACTTCTAGGTTTAGTCTTGCAGGAAGTTCAGGGAACCTGAGCTGTATGAAAGTGTTTTTATATTGAAGTGTTTTTGGTTATCTGAAAGCGCTTTTAATCTTTATAAAAACATATCGAAATGAGCCCTTAATCTAAGTCATAATCCTGCTACAAAGGTAGTCCAAGTTGGTTGCTCAAGCCTAATCGTTGATCAGGTCAAAACAGATGTAGCTTTCACCAATTTGTGTAGACTTTTTTTTAACCAAAAATCATAGTATAATCAATGATTGCTGATATGTTTGACCCTAAAGGTGTCCCTCAAATAAAATTATTTGAAAGATTCATTAGTAGAAGGGGTAATAAAAAGCTAAGCTTGCCTGAAATATTAAATACAGTCTTGTCCAATATTAAATACACAAGGTTCCCTGAAATTTAGATCTCAGACTCCACAACAAAGTGAAAGGTTTTTTTTTTTTTTTTTTTAATAAAGAAAAAGCATAGTTGGAGTGGAGATGGTGCATGCTTAAGTTTAAATTAATGCTAATTAATAAATAAAAATACTTATACTAATTAAGAATACTATCCTTTCTGGTGTCAAATATTAAGAGATTTCTTAATAATGAAAGATTGTGTTTCGCTTAATAAAATAAATAAAAAAGATTGTGTTTCGAGAGCATCGTTGAGGTTTAAAATATAAGTTGCCGGTGAGGAGCACCAGATTGACGATGATAATAATACAAAAAATAGTAATATTTCAGTCAAATTTGGGCTGCCCCCATTATTCTAAGACTTCTCATGGCCTCAGCAATATTGTATTTGATCTGCCAAGATTTACGTATGACCTCAACATGACAACTCTGGAAAACTCATATACTAATGGATGGGAGCACTTGGTGGCTGACAATATTTCAAAGTTTGAACATCAAAAGATCATATCTAAATCAATTTGATCAAACGGCTAAGAGATAAAGTCTTACTATATAATTCTTATTTAATTATAAGTGAAAGCAACTACGAGAACCCAGAAATTTCCATAAATTTCAGTGGCTGACTAGTGTCCAGGAGATGAAACCAACAACCCACTTTGGTGTTTATGCAATTGATACAGTTTTTAAGCCATGAAATCCAAACAACTTTGGAAGGTTAGACTGATCCTGTTGAAATTTCTTTGCTGGTTAAAATTATTTTCCCCATTTGTCCACGTTTCTTGCTGGACTGAACTCGCGACAGGACATTTTGTTACATACACAGATATACTTGTCCAATTCTTTCTCTCTTTTAAGTTAAAGAAATACATAAAAAGTCAAAATTGAGTACAATTATTTTTGTAATTACATGTCGAATTCAAAAATTAATTGAGTGCAAGAAAACATCAACCTAAACTTATAGATAAATAACAGATCTTTGGTTACAATAGATAACATTCATTTCATGGTAGATTAATATAGTTTCATCAGCAGGTGTTAATCTTAAATCTCATCCTTACATGTGATCGAAAAGAAAAATTGATCATCCTTGTATCATTTCTTGCATATTGGGATTGAACTTGGAGTAAGGCTGGACCCAGGCCCACGTCCAATTATAGCAACAAAACCCAATATCAAAATATATAAATACAGGATAACAATCAAATCATTATATTCAATTCAGCCAAGCATTCTCCTTTTTCTTTTTTTTTCTTTTTTTTTTGGCATGCGATAATCTAAATTATTGGAGAGAAAAGAGAATTTTTCACACACATAGGCAAAATATCATGAGAGTTTGAACCTGAGATCTTTGGTGTGCAAATCAATACCCTTTTCAACTAAACTCGACTCCATTTGCCAGTATTCTAATAATATAATCTGATCCAAAATAATAATCTCGGTTCAGTCCAGAATCCTAAATGAAAGCTAGTGTTAACTAGTTACAAGTGAGTTTTGTCTTGTCTTTGCTTAAACAAGCATTACGGGCCACACTAACACAAGCCAGACAAATTTGAGTAGAAATGAGGTATAACTTCTCGTGAGAAGGAAAAGGAGATGCTTTTCATCAAATTGAAAACTTCGAGCAGTGGGAGAACATTTATTGCTGAATCAGTATATGGATCAATTCGGCTTATTCCCGAAAAAGGATAAAAAAATAATAATAATATTGCATTTTGACAGATGTAGGATAACCTACCAATGATGGAGAAGAAACCATGTGAAAACGCTGGTAAACAATAGTATGAAGTATAACCAAAAATAAACACAACAGACATGTTCCCGGTCAATCAGTCCAGATTAGCAATAACCGCATCAACAACCTCTTGAGTGGTGCTGACTCCGCCGAGATCTTTCGTCCGGTACTTGCCTTCTGAGATCACACGTTTCACGGCTGTTTCAAGTCGATCAGCAAATGAAGGAAACTGGAGATGCCTCAACATCATGGCTGATGACAGTAGCAAGGCCACTGGGTTGGCCTTCTTTTGCTCCCATA